AGAGAAAAAGGCTTCAGGTCAGGCCTCGCTGAGGAGGTGAGCCCAGCGAGCTTGAATCTCATCCGCCATTCTTGTGGTTGTTTCCAGCACTCCAATTCTTCCAGTGGATTTAGTAAAATATTGTGGGTAAATCCTGGAGAATCTTACCCACCTGGGTAAGACCTCTTGGTACCAACCTCCTGTACAAAAAAAGTGCTTTGCACCTGCTGCATCGTACACAGGGCCCCAAAGACAGCTCCTGCCACCAAACACCGCTTTATTTTTCAGTACGGAAACACTCTTGCCCGATTCAGCCTTTCCCCACACCATTCCCCACTCTGCCCCGAAGCACTTGTTTCTCCAGGGCCCCAGCAGCTGCGGCTACGGGGCAGTACAGAGCGTTTCAGCTTGGATTTCATGAAGATGGAGGAGGGGGGAAAGCCTTTGTCACCAAACCAGTCCCATCAGCAGATAGCTAAAACAGAGGCCATGTATTTGATAAAAGCTCTGTTCAAAAGCAGCAGTTTCAGAGATGCTATCACTAGCAGAGCGCATCCCTCTCCCAGAGCTGGCAGGCTTTCTATAAATGAAGTCCCACCACATCAAAGGCACAGGGTCAGGAAATTGGATCGCTTGCCCCCAGCTGTAAATGTAACTAGCAGGCTACAGGTCTGACTTGGAAGATCAACATAACATCACAACCCGAAGAAAGGAAAGATAAAAGACAAACAGTTCCAGCTAGAGATCTCTTTTCTGCTGACTGAAGGGCAGAGGAATGGGAGCTGAAGGAACCAGCAGAAAGCACTTGCTCTATGAGTAGATGAGCAAACGCCCAGCATGGGCTAAGCAAAGGGTCAGCGTCTGAGAGTGCTTTCCCAAGCCCCGGCAAAAGAACATAATTTAATAGCCATTCTGAATCCTCTCCAATGCACAGCACACAAAACCGTGATTTTGTTACACAGCTTACAGAAGTCATCACCACAGGTGAATACGAGGCAGTGACAGAGGTACCTCACAAGGTTGACATATAAGAAAAAAAGAAAAAAAGGAATCAGGCCTTTAAGTTTGCTAGTCCCATACTTACAGGTCCAGTAGCCTGAAGGAACCACCTCTGTGGAGGAAGCCACGCTTTGAAGTAAGACCGGAAGGCTGTCCCACTCCTCCTCTTAGCATCTTTAAAAGTTTTGCTGAATACCAGCTCTCCAGCATATTCACTACCAGCAATTTATTCAGCCTTAGTGTATGAGTGTGTTCTTCAAGCCATCAAAAAATTAGTACTAAAAATACCAGGGCAATCATTAGAAAAGCCTTCCCAGAAATCCAGGTGCAAATGCCTAACCCTCCCCCAAACCCAAAGCTGAAATCACACAGAAATTACACCGACCACAAACACCTGAAAACAGCCACAAGGTTTCTTTAGCAGCAAAGCACACAATGCTCAAAGAACACAGCAAACGTACTGCCTCTTGCCATTTCATCTGAGGTAAGACAGCTGTGACTAATGGAGCCAAACACACCAACAGGTGGGATTAGGTGACAGCACTGATGGAACTGTGAAATCACTGCTTTCAGCATCTTAGTCAAGACCAGTTTACAGAAGCAAAACAGAAAAAGGCTTTATTTTTAAACCAACCTACTTACAAGTGTTAGAGACCACACACAAAGTTCTTCAGTTAAAGCTTTTGGACCATCTGTAAAAGTAAGGCTTGTAACCATGATGGTGTCAATAAGAAAAAACAAACAAGCCTCTGCTCAGAAAATGAGGCCCGTATACAGAACAATTCTGCAGAAATGCCAGAGCACAGCCCATGCTTTCCTCCAAAGCAGGCTGCTGTAGCTTATTACAGTTATCAATAGTAAACTAAGCCAGGGTGGGCACAGCCTCTGCAGTCTGAAGCAGGATGGAAGTAAGCTTTCACCAGGATCCCACTCCCACTGGGAGGAAACAGACACCCCAGAAAGGTCTCCCGCATTTTCTTCTCTGTTAAAAGCACATCATTGTTAACTGAGATATAAGTGGGAAGCTCTTAATTCCATTTTCCGGTGCATAGAGTGGGAAACATAAGTTTATAATAATAAATGTAGGCCCTGCATTCAGACTTTCCAGGAGAATTTAAACCTGAGACATTGAAAAGCAGATTTGGAGCAAAAACGTGAGGAAAAACACACCAGTTGTTTTACATGCAAAATGTAATTAGCTGATGCAACTCACTTCAGCCAAAATGTAAGTGAGATTCAGGAAAGGATGAGACATTTACATGGACAATGAGAATATCCAGATCAACAAGAGAGAACAAAGTTTGCAGAACACAATCTCATTTCTTAGAGCATAAACCAACCTCTGGCAGATGGATGTTGGAAAAGGCTCCTCAGGGCTGGCTGCCCTGTGATTTCCTCCTTAATTTTACTGCACCCTCTTTTGAAGCACTGTTCCATACAGGAAAATAGATTAAACATAGGATCAGTCTGGACTAGCAGTTCTCTGTTTGGAGTTGTACATAGGGAGCTTTGTTAAGGAATTCATAGTGCACATTTCTCTCATCTTCAATAATGTGGTTGTTAAGCACATTGCTAGAAAGCCAACATTGTGTCTCAGCAGTATAGCTGCTGTGGAAGATTACTCGCAAGACATTTAATGGTACAGAAAGTGGGTGTAAGCCACACAGGGGGACAGTGCAAGCACTGAAAACATTCACTAGATGAGTTTGGTAAAGCATAAATGCAAAAGCAGCCAAAAGGAAGTAAAAACAGTTTTGTACAGTCCACTGAGAAACTTCAATGAATCACCAAAGGCTGCAAGGCAGCCTTTCAGACTAGGGCTTGGTTCACTAGCATTTCAAAGTCAAGAGACTCTCTGACACCAAGTTTACGCAAGCTGCACAAACCATCATTTAAGCTCTCAGTGGTGAAAACAACCAACCTTTTTATCAGGTAGCCCTGAAAGCAGAAGTCATGGCATGGCAGCCTTCCTGTCCCCTCTGGTAGCTTGAGTTAAGCATCAGGTTTGACTTTGCTACCTTCTTCTAGAGCCAAGACTTTTAATTAGCAATAGAGATTCATGATTTTATGTCCACTGATCTCAGGGTTGATCTATGGAAGACCATGCATGTGCTGAGAACATGCAGTTCACTAGAAATCTAGGCCCTAAATTTTTCATTGATGCCAAACTACATAGCTTCTCTGGCAGCTTGTTCTTTTAGTCACTCATCAGTTGAGGACATATTCTTGTCTTCATCATCAAGCGTATCTTTTAGCTGTTGACGAGCAAACTCTTCAAATACCAGGTCTGCTTCACTGAAATGGAAGAAATACAGGTCTTTCAAAATGTTAGCAATTTTTTTATACCAGCAGACTAAAGGCAACATACAGGAGGAAGAAGAGAAGTCCAGAGCAGACTCTGGTAATGTTTGCTTTGTCTTCAAGGGGATTTGGATCATATTCCCACAGGCACCATCTTCTTTGGTGGTATTCTAGCTAGTATGAAAAGCAGTTGATTGAGCAAATCAGGACACAAACTGAGGAGGTTTTCATTTGTACTGAATCACGTCCATTCCAGCAAAATATTTATCAGCTAGCTGAATAGTTTGCAGCCTGAAGAGGTCTTTGTCTAGAAATAAAATGTGAAACCTTTCCTTATTCCTTCTGTACTAAAATAGGGGCACATGATCAAACCTATAGAGTTCCTGAAACTTAGAGGTACAGAGCATCAGCTGACCACAAACACATCCCTCCCTCCAACTGTGAAGCAAAACATGTTCTCTTAAAATTAGTTTCACATAGTCCGTCATTGCTATTCAACGGATAGCAATAATTTGTCAAGCCACAGTAAATTACTGGCTTTGGATTTAAGCTCATACTCTGGGAACCCTATGGATTTTTGAACAATTTTGAGGAGTTTTAAAAGAGTCAATGCATAACTACAGCTAGAATGCGAAATACCATTAAAAGAAACTTACCCATCCTTCCCTGCAGTCATCAGCATGCAGTAAAGGAGGAAAAAAGACATACCAAGCAGTTAGAACAGTGGATGCTAAAAGCAGCAAAAATTTATAAACTGACAAGACAAAACAATGACAAGCAATAGGATTTGCAGCAATACAAGGAGAATTCCAGAGAAGTCTCAAAACATGCGTACATACACCTGATGAAGCAAAACTTGATCTCCCAAATGGAAAAGCACTCTAGCAGCATTGCCCAAGGCATCAGACAGGCTGAGAAACAAAGACAGATTTTCCCATTTATGCTTGCTAGCGGTCACAGCTGTGAGAGACATCTGTGCACACACTTCTACTCAGAGATGACAGTGCTTGCGTGACATGATGTTAGTCTTAATTGGTCTGTCACTGTAATTTAAGTAGGCAGCTGATGAGAAGACGATGTTCTTGTTCAATAAACATGAAGGTATTAAAAATCAAATGAGGTCAGAATACACAAAGGCCTAGGTGGTCTCTCATTAGACAGTTTATGCACTTGAAGCAATACTCCTGATTTCTTCCTTGCCTAAATATAATCCTGAGAAATTTGGCACTTGTGTTTCTTTAATTGGATCCACCATAACGAATCCAGCTTGCTAGCAGGATTCCTTGGAAGCTGTTTCAGCACGGCCTAAAATAAGTAGAACAGACTGTATTGCAGTGATGAAACAGGGGCAGGGATTTTTTTTTGTTCTCAGTTACTTTAGCTTCAGCAAGTAGCAGTTGCTTCACTGGCTTACTTCTCATGAGTTTAAGTCAGGGAGCAAAGCGCACCTAGGCCATCGTTCTGCAGAAGTCGTCAACAGATCTGGGTTGCTTCAGTGACCGAGTAATGCACTACCTGGAGAATTCCCACCCACAACGCACACTGAAATCAAGGGCAACAAGTGGCAACTAGCACTGCTAGAAAAGTCAGCATTAAAAGTGTGCCAAATGGGGCCACTCTAGCCAAAATGCCACAAAGGATGGCTCATGTAAAGCCATTCATGACGGTGTCTCTCCAGACTCAGAAAGGATGGTTTCCTCTGCTCACAGAACCCAAGATGAAGTCTGGAAAGTCTCAGGGCATGCAGGCTTGATTGAAATGGATTTAAAATTAAATGTTTAGAACTTAAAAAATTTCCAACACATAAAGCATCCTTCTCACTCCATTTTTCCTCCAATTTTTATTCTTTAAATAAGTCTGCTCTCTTGCCCCTCTTTGAAGTACATTCATTACTATGGGAACCATGACATCACTGATGTGGGTGAAGATGAGCGATACCCATCAATGCGGTTTGAAGCCAATTTTACAAAATGGGTTGAGGGGGGAAAATAGGTATAATTTCAGTTGGGTATATACTTTACTCTCAGACAAATGCTTATTGAATCAATACATAGGTAGTGCGGCAGTAGAGTAATGCTTATCACATACCCGAGACGTACAATTATATTCAAAGATGCACTACTTTGACCTTCAGGATGCTATACTGGCATGTAGCTTGCTAAATGCCTACAATTAGCACCCTAGCAGGAGTTGGGTCTACTCCATAGAGTTATCTTGCTGTCCTGGGGTTATTTAACATTATAATATTGAAAAATTCTCAGGAACCTGAAAATGGGTAGACTTTTTTTTAAACTAGCCTCCCAGCAATTGTTTTGAGGGTTGGGATGGGAGGGGGGCTGTGTTCAAGGATCAACAAGGCTCCAGAATGTCATCATACTCCCTGCAGACAGTTTTCTGTAAGCTTTTATTATGCAGCCACAGAAACAATTCCATATAATTAAAGTTGTGGCATACGGTAGTTTTCATTATAAGCTTGCTTTTAACGTCTCTTAACTTGGGGGGGCGGGAAGTAGGCTGTGCTATTTTTTAAGACATTAAAGTGCTTTAAAAATTCAATAATTTCTGAAAGTTACAATACCAATACAGGGCAGATGTAGCTTTCATATTACAGGGACAAAGCATTTATGGGTTTCTTGAAACCAGCCTTTTCATGCAAGTTTAACAAGGGAGCAGATAAATGACCATTTGTTGAACAGCAGCCAAAAGAAAGGCCAGTGTCCAAGACATAAGCCCACAAAACGTAAAACATCAGGAGAAGGGCAGGAAAACCCCAGACCAAAGAACTCACGCTGAGACCACAGCCTTGACAAAAACCCAGCAGGAGCTTCTGGGCTAACTGCTGACTGGGAAAGGTCTTGGAAGCATGAAGAGACACAGCCCAGTTTGAATCTATCTTTAAAAGAAAGAGATCTCTATCCATTTTTGTCAACAGGCGGAAAAGACAGATTGACAACGTGACAGGAGCTGCTTTGCCTAAAAATAGCCACCTGTGAACCACATGGGTCCAAAGACAGCTGCAAAACCAGCACACATGAAACACGCAAATGCTGGTCTACAAGAAGTCCAAGACAAGGAAGCTATAAATAAACATGGGAAAGGAAAGGTAGCAAGCCATTCCTTTTCGGTCTCCTCCAGGCACAAAAAAGAAAGCAATCTGCAATAGCTGTGCACTGACAGACCTGCTTTTTACCGAGTGATGAATGCTTCAGATCTGGCTCACAGACAAATAAAAAGGGCAATCTGCTGGGAAATAAAGCTTTGCCCCAGTTTGGCCCTAAAAAAATTAAAAGATGTTCTTGAGAAGCTTATCTTTCCAAGGTTCTCTACACTCAAATCAGCCCTGAGTGATTAAATACACTGATGCTACACCTGTTTTATTTACTTTTGACATAAATAACCTTGACTAGAGAAGGAAAAAGGATATTGCTCCACTGCAAGGAATAAACCATAATATGTGGCATTTTTTAATCCCACTTTAGCTTTGACTCTAAGATGGTTGCTTTGACTTCTTTCCTTTCTCCCAGCTGTGTCTTAAGATGAAGTGAGCAGAGAGGTGCAATAGGCAAACTGGTTACGACTGACTCATCAGTAAAAACAAAAGGGAACAGAAAAAGAAGATAAGGAGTGATCTCAAAATTCCCTGTGCATGCACCCCTGCCTACACCCACTGCAGAGGCTGCCGAACAAGCCAATAGAGAAAAATTCCATCTTGTGCAGCCTTTGAGAGTCTGAACACTGTTTGTTGAAGCTCCATCTCTGCAATTAAACCTTTGATTTGCTCGATTCCAAATTAGATGTCATTTCACTGATGAAACACACCTTATTTCTCAGAGTCAATGAACTCTAAGGTGGTAGAATAAAAATTTAAAAAGCATGAAAGCACAATTGGGAAGAGTGATTAGGCATAAGGCATGGAAAACTAGCAGCCAGTAAAGCCGGAAAGAGTTTTAGTTTACCAGCTTCATAAGGAAGGCTGCTTTATTCTCGTAATGAGCTCAGACACCACATTCCAGCACAGTTTTCAAGTCAGCTATGCAGGCTTCAGAGGAATTTTCTGTTGTGCTACAGTATCTTATTTTAAGAGAAAGCATTTACTTTGAGTTCACCATTTGTAGGTATTTCCCATGGGATACGCCCTTGAAACTACCTGTATTTTTTTTCAATCTGTAAGAAACTCACAATTTCCATCTGTACAAAATACATGAACATATCTGTCTTCTGACAGCAAGCTCCTAGAAGACTTTGATGTAGCAAACAATACGTGGGCTGTGCTTTTGGTAAGAGGGAAGCGATCTGAGAAATATTGCATTCTCCATTTCCCTTGTAAAGTCTTCTGCCCACATCCTTTTCAGCGTACTACATAAAGGAGTATATCAGCCACCCTTTGAAATGCTCTTAGAAGGGAGAACTGACTGACTTCCATTGCTTCTAATATTAAAAATGCTTCTGCCTGAAGCATAAGCAGTAAGAAGCAAGTTGCCCCATTGGTTACCATAAAAGAGTTATGTAAAAAATTCACACAATTCTAAAAATGTAAAATTCTTTACAGTTGCATAAGCCGTTGGATGATCCTTGTTTGCAGTTTTCTCTGTATCTATGAAAGCTCCAGATTTTGCAGCTCCAAGTCGCCCCACCAGCACCTCTGCCCTGCGAGGCTCCCCACAGACACCAGCACCTCTGCCCATGGACACTAGATGTCCCTCACCAGCTACTGCTCCTGGGGCCGCTAGTGCCAGTCCCAGACCCTCACCAAGCTCCTGGGCAGGGGGATTGCTGCAGTAAAGTTTGAGGGAAAGAAATGCTTCGGTAGAAAAGCTACCAGAAGAGACAGAAGACCCTTGCAAGGCAGCTCTCCCACCATGAGTCACCCATTTGAGATAGTGATCAAGCGTGCAGCTATGTCAGTGTTTTGCTGGCCCACAGCATGACAGGGAAAACAGCAGCGTGGGCACAGCTACGCAAAAGCATTTGCTTCACAGCAGCTTTTCCAAGGTGACCAAACCTTATTAGTCCTATGGACCAACCCCGAGAACCCAGTTGCTACCTCACAGACCAGCTGGAGGCTGCTTTGGGCCGCACGCTGCTGTGGGGTGTCCTGTGCTACTCCTCAGCAATGTGGTTGTCTCCCGTGCAGCCACAGCAGAAAGAGGGCGAGAGGGGAATAGGCGTTGTGGATTTGTCCTGAAGGTGCTTCCTAGGCTCACTGCACTGTTCTGTTGGGGGTATAACATGCACAAAAACCTTCTCCTGTGAGCGTGTTCTGTGCCTGTGCTGAGAGGCTCTGCTGGCACAGCTCACAGCAGGGATTTTCCGAGCTAAAATGAGTTTCCTATGGTGCAGTTCTCAAAAGAGGAGTGGAGAAACCTACCTATGCCCACCTCCAGCACATCCATCATTAGCAAACACTCATTCCCGACAGCAACTGAGTGTGGAAAGGATCACCAGTCTCTCTTCTCATCACTTACATTTGATTCCTCCCCAACAACAAGTCACCCCTCTCTAATGCTTCTAGTATAGAACACGGCATCTGTCTTGGGATAACTTTCATAGCCTCCTCTACCTTCTTCCAGCTGTCATGTTCTTAGATATAGCAGCTTTAGGCAAGTTTGGGCCCAAAGAAAAAAAAAGACAGAAAAAGAAAATGTTTGAAGCCCATGCAATTTTGTCTAAACACAGAGGGCAGGACAAGATGACTGATCTGTACCAGTTCCCACATCGAAAAGCTCGCATAATGTTTTGTGTTCAGTAGCTGCTTCAGATGCTGCTTCTGACATAGTGCAAGCACCTTGCAGCTTATGTTCACCATTAGAGAACAGAGCCAGCCAGGGCCCGAGGAAGTGGGAGAACACAGATGCTCAAGACAGCATGCAGTTTTGGCATCCGATCCCAAGCCTCAACATGCCTGAGGAAGGCTAGCTCCTTATGCTGCTTGAAAGCTCCCACACTTCCATTTACTGACGTGGCTCTGAAGACACATTCCCCTCAGATACCCACTGGACATGAAGGCCACACCACAGACACTGTCGCCAATGCCACACCAAGATAACAGGGACTCTAAAATCATGCCCAGTTTTATCATCTCTTAGCTTTGTCTAAAAGTATTTTGCCCCCCCCCCCTTTTTTTTTTTTTTTTTTACAATGCTCATGTGTCTTAGGTGTTTTCTGTGACATTCTCATTTGCTGTATTGGAAACTAGCTGGGAATTTTGGACAGTAGTCATGACATTGAACTGTGCAGCGCTTCCTCAAAACCCTGTGCTTTGAGTTGTGATTCCATAGATGAAAGAAAAAGAGAACATGACCCGTTTCCACCTTCTCTATCTTAGCATTCCTTCCTCTCCTTGTTATTTTGTGCCTTGAAGTTGAGAGATACACACACACAGAGCCGCCTCCATACTGGAGTCTTGCAGACTCTAAAGGATTCTGGTAGAACAAATCACTGTAAGCCTTGCAATGATAAGATTTCATACCAGTCTGTTAATGAAGAAAGGCAAAAACCAGGCATAACTGACCTGCTGGGTTCTTTTCCTCAGGTTTGGGGTGCATGAGACGAAATGGCAGCTCTGTGCCCACTTCACTTTGGGGAGAAGAAAGAATGCATCAGATCTACAGCTCCATCCATGCCTGGTTCAATCCCTTTCCCACCTCAGGCCAGCCCAAGCCCCAAACTCCAGCTTCACTCATTCATTCATCTTTTTCTAATCATAGTTTTCCCCTCAAAAAGAGTTAAACTCCGATTTCTCCACAAACATCGCAGGCATATCCACTTGAATAAACTGAGTGTATTATGTGCTGAATGTACTTGCATGTACACAATATCAGAGATATTTTTGTAATTACTTCATTTTCACAACTGAACACACAGACTTCTTATTTCTATCAGCCTAAGGGATAGTTGTGGGTTTTTTTTAGGGAGGAGGGAAAG